ACCTCCTCATTTCTCTTACCACCTCCGGTACTTCTCCTTGTCCAGGCCCTTCCAACCACGTCAGGCGCCGGGGCCAAGTCCATGAGCATCCGGCCCTTCCTGGTCACCGGAACCGTGTAGGTGCCGACGACAATATACCGTCCCACACCTTCTTGATCTCGTCCAGGCTTGAACGGCCCCGCCAGGTCAATCGCCAACGTGTAGCTCTCCGGGCTCACCACTCTCCGGTGGTACCGCGCCTTCCCTGCCCCTTCCAGGCATGTCCGGCATCCTCTGTGGAACGGCAAGTGGTCATTCGCCAGATGGGCCCGCCACTGCTCCGCACTCAACCGCTTCAGCTTCACCGGCTCCACGGTAAGGCGCACCGCCATGGCTATTGCCTTCTTCATCCCTGGCGCCCAGGCAGCCCATTTCTTTGACGCCGCCATCCTCGCCTCCAGGTTCGTCTCCATCGGGCCCTTGTCGGAGCCCGCCCCTCGAACACCGTCTAACTGCTCGAGCATCTCCATGTTCGTACCAACCGTGGTAGGCTTGGTCTTCACGTGGCCGAAGGGTCCTTGGTCGAAATGGTACTCCTTCATCCCGTAGGCCTCCTTGAATTTCTTCCACTCATCCCACGCCCAATACGAAGGATACCTTTCCCGCCCTTCGCCTCCACCATGGTCCTTGCCACCCACGTAGGACTCCGGGTCTTGAGGGCTTTCGTTGAGGAAACCCACCTTCGCGACCGTGGCCTCATCCGCGACCATGTAGAGCAAGAACATCCGCATCCAAAGGACCGTATCGCCATCCACCTTGTCGAGCAAGACCTGAGGCAGGTTCTTCCGGCCAAAACGCTCCTCTCCGTCCCGCGTCCTCAGTGGCGGCGGCCCCGGCTGCAAGGATCGCATCCTGGACACGGTGCGGCAGGGCGGACCCCCAATGATCATCTTCACCTTTCCTGAGGCACACAATTCCATCAAGTAGGACATCACATTGTCCTTGCCGACGTCCTGCCCTTCTCCCAACTCCAGGTCAACGCAGAGCACGACTCTATCGGCCGTTTCAAGCTCCTTCTCCCAGAACTTCGCGTCCGGGCCGGAGAAGAGATGCAGCACAACCTCCTTGGCTTTCTGAATCCTCCTCCTCGTCCGCCGGTTCCAGGGCAAGTGATTCCATCCCGACCTCGGTGGTAACCTCTCCAGCACCCGCTCCGGTACTTCTGGAAAAAGCTCTCGCAACCTCCGAAGCCACTTGACCGAGTCGAGGCCGACTTTCTCTTCCTCCTGGGCCGTCAAGGGCTCACCACGTAGCGCCATCAACCTCATCTGGTACTTCAACGCCTCCATCTCCAACTCCCTGATGAGCTCCAAGCCCAACTCCTCATCCACCGTCCAAGGCAGTATCAAGGATCCGCCCATGCTGATCCATCAGCTCAATCCGATCTCCCTCCCACTTCACCGAGTAGCCCTTCTGGTAGGCTGCACCTCCTCCATAGTCAGCAACGTCCTCGTCCAAGGAATGAGCCTCAAAGACACGGTTCCTTGTGCCAAATGCACCTCCACCTCCCGGGCCTCGTCCCACTCCTGCACCGACGAACACTGCCGTAGGCTATGCGTCGCTCCTCCATCCAGCAAGGCCCTTTTGTTCTTCACCTCCAGGGAACTCAGCTGGATCTTCCTCAATTCCGGTCCTCTCAAACTCTTCAACAGTCCCGCTGCCTCTTGAATGAGTCCCCTCACTGCTTCCCCACTACCTCCATCCGGCAGTGGCCCATTCACCCTCCTTGACGGCGACCCTCCACCTCCGGTAGTAGACACCGCAGTCTCCATTTCCACCTTCTTGACGATCTGGCCCTTCGCATCGGTCCCGTCGTAGGTCTTGGCGGCTCCGCCATTTCCATCCCGACTCCTCCGCGTCTTTACCGGACAGTCTTTTCGGGTGTGTGAGGTTCCTCCACAATTCCAGCAGCGCCCTCGCTTGTCCCCGTCGAACTCATGCCTGTAGGTGCAATCTGCTCCCTTCTTGCATCCACTGTCCGTGAGGAAGAATCTGCACGTCGGCGCCGTGGCGGCATCCTTCCCTCCTCCATCCTTGCCTTTTCCTCCTCCTTTGCCAAAGTCCTTGGGCTTGTCGGGACTCCCTCCTTCTCCAGCCACCAAAGCCTTGACCTTCGCAGCCGTCCCCTGAGCCGTGCTGTGAAAACCTGCTTCAGCTTCCGCCAGCACCACGTCCGCAAACTGCAGCACCGAGTCCACCACCGGAGCCACGTCAATCCTTAAACCCGCTCTTGCAGAGTTGAGCCGGAAAGAAGTTTGAGGCGAGGCCTTGACAATCACCCCCACATACTTCTCCAGCGCTCCGACCAGCAAGGTTGCATCTGGGGTGGCGATCTTGAGTTCCTGGGCTCTCCGAAGGTAGCGCTTCCACGCCCTCAACTGCTCCAAAGCCTCCAACATAGACGTAGGTGTCCTCGGATCCACCAGCTGCCTCAACAACATCGCCCGTTCTCCCAGACCACCCGGTTGGTACCGCGTGAAGATCCGGAACAACACCTGCACGGAGGAGGTGGCTCTGTTGGCGAGGATCTCCCCCTTCAACGAGGTCGGTAACGAAGCCAACAACATCGACTGAGCCCGTTGCTCAATCCGGCCCCACTGACCGTTCCCATCACCAACTCCCTGCGGCTGCACGTACAAACGCTCCAGCGGCTCCGCCCTCAACCATTGCACGTAGGCTTCCGAGGAGAACTTCACCACCTCATCCCACCATTGACCACTCCTCGCCGACAGGTCCCTCATGATTGGGTTGATCAGAGCGAGCCAATCGCCCACCACCATCGAACCCAGCTCTCCTTCTTTCACCTCTGGCAAGGCCGGAAGCTCCACGGACCTGATGTTCTCGTTGTTTGCCATCAATGACCCCATCCAAACCGGGATCTGTCCTCCTCCTGCACCAGCCGCCGGTTGCCCTTGACCTCCAGCAGGATGCCCAGGAGGTACTCCAGCACCTCCAGGGTTTCCAGGATCTCGAGCAGGATGCCCTTCAGGTACTCGCGCCATACCAGGCCAATCACGCCCCCGTTCATCTGCATGACGCCCACCAGGTACTCCCGCTGCTCCATTTCCTCCGCATCCACTATCTCCAGCTGCCAGGTGCTGTCGCTCATCAAACAAGTCACCTCCATGATGGCTAGCCGCATCTGACCATCCCACGCCTCGAGCGTCCGGTCCTCCGCGATCTCCCAGGTCAGGAAACAAAGGCAGTCCTTCACGTCCTCGATCCCCACCTGCGGAAAAACCCACTGCAGCCAAACCACCAGCCCCAGCAGCTCCTGCCATCGGCCTCATTCCACCCCATCCCAGGGTAGTCATAGCCGCCGGCCCCTGACCTGACCGAAGTTGTAGCGCTCGCTCATCACCAGCTCCTCGTCCGGCCGCAGCTCCCGAAGATTCCAGATGTCCACCTCCGGCAGGTACTACGCCCTTCTGGCTCACTCTGCCAGGGCTTCCATAACTAGCACCTCCGTTGATCTGCTCCTTCATCTCCTTCAGCTCCGCCGCCATGTGCTGGTTCTGAGCGATCAGGCCCTTCATCATGTCGAACAGTTCCCGAGGAACACCACCTGCGCTTTCAACCCGCCCATAGTTTCCACCTCCTTCAGGAAGTTGAGCTCCGGCATCACACAGCGCCAGCGGTCCCCCTTCTGGCTCCTCCACCGGCAGGTCCCGAGGCCTCATGGCCCTCAACTGAGCCTCCTCTTTGGCCTTCTCCGACCAAAAAGGGTTCACCACCGGCGCCGCCAAGTCGCTGCTCCTCAAGGGGCCATACGCCGTCGGCGGTCCTCCCGGTCCTTGTTCCTCCGGCTCCTGGGCCGCCTCCGCAGCAGTCCTTGCCGAAGAGGACGAAAGAGCCTCCTCCATGGCTCAGCACAGGTCGAGGTTTGGGCTCATAACCCACTGACTCCTAAGCAGGCGCTCGTTTTCCTTCTTGAGCTAAAAAGGGGCTGTCCCCGATCAATCGTTCAGCAACTTCCAAACCAGGGGGTTGTTCCCCAGAAACATCTCATCCTCAAAGCGGATTTCAGGGATTACGACTATTATTACTATTATTATAACTATTATTACTATTATTATAACGATTATTATTATTAATCTTTATCATCATCATTATGTTTGTTATTAATATTAATACTATTATTATTATCAATGTTATGGTTATCATCATTATATTATTATTACCATCATAATTATTACTACTAGTATTTTTATCATCATTATTATTTTCACAATTATTCTTTTTTTTTTTGGTTTGTATTTATTATTGTTGTTCCGTTCTCCCAACCCTTTGGGTCCTTGAATCGGGGTGCATTTCATCTTCACCAAGTTTGAAACTCGGGAGTCCCTTCGCAGGAAGAATGGCATGTTTTTCGGAGGTGACTCTTGCTTTTTTGTTTAACAGGGATCGCCGATTCTGCGACAAGCACAACTCTGCAATGAGCCCAATTTCGGTTCTTGGGGTTTGGGGGTCCCCAGCTTAGGGACGCCCAATCTCTTTAGTTTTGGTCGGCTGCCTTTTGTGGGTTCAAAGTACCCTTACAGCGTTGCTTTCACAGGGTTCCATCTCCCATTTTTCTAGCAACACTGCTCCATATTTGTTTGCAGGAAGCTTGCCAAGCTTTGGAGCTTCCTGCTCATGCTGACTTCTGCTGCGGTCGCCTGAACGAGCGGCGACATGTTCCCTTGATGTGAATGAGCACTTGATGAGTGATGTGTGTTTGATTGTACTGATTGAGAGTGGAGTGAGGACAAACAAGTGGTACCTGCAGCCCAACTAAGCCCAACGAACTATCAACAGCACCCCCGAAACCCTTCCGGAAAGCTAGCCACTCGCTCCGAGCCGTAGAACATATTTGGGAGGCCAAAGCTTGGGGAGAAAGGACCAAGTTCTCCCAACAACTCCTCGGGTTTCCAAGCGTTCGGTTCCTTTGCATGGAACCCGCCCTCCCCCCCCCCGCGCAGGGAGAGGCCTTGCGGCTCCTCGAGGAAGAGCTGCTGCCGAGCTTGGCTCAGAAGGAGCTGCGCGCGGCAGCGAGGGACCTGCTGGTGGTGAGCTTGTGGGCGAACAGGCGGGTTCGAGTGAGCGGGCGAGTGGGCGGTGCGACGAAGGGTCAGGATCTGGCGCCCAGAGTTTTTAGTTGGCCCCCTTTCTCAGTTCTTCCAACCCGCCCAACAAAAAGCGCCCAGTCTCTGTGAGGCGTTGAGGAAACCGAGAGGAAGCTTACCTCTTCGCTGGGGGTCATTGTTTTCGACTGTCGAGGCGGGGCCCCTTGCCCCTGTTAGCATTGCCAGTCCCAGGCCCGAACGAGAAGGAGGTTGTTTAGTTTCAGTGGGAGCAGGTTTTACAGAGCAATTTCTCTTAAATTGGGATCCCTGGCCGAGTAAGAGGAGTCTTGGTACCTGGATGGTCCTCCCCTGATTCCCAGAGCTGATTGGCAATGCGCATGGAGTGTGGGCTAATGTCATGTGTTGGGAGCCCCACTTCATTGCGCCAATACCCTCCCCACCCTCCCTTCTCTTTGTAATTCAAAAGCAAGCAAAACACGTCATAAATTGCAGACTCCCTTTATTCGATTCACATGGTACTGTAGAGATTGTAGAGCATGCCCGCTTTGCAACAAGCGAAAGAATACCACTTTTCCCTTGTTCCCCCCAATTGGATCAGGGACCTTTCGCTTTTTTTCGGGGAAGTCCATGGCGTTGGAGAGGTTCCTCATCCCAAGTCTCATGGCCATTGCGGGCTCCGCAGGCCCTCGCCGGTGGAAAGATCCCTGGGCTCCAAGACGAAGAACGCGCTGCTGGGATTGCGCGGAGACGGCGAGCAGAGGAGTCAGCTGATGGGAGCCATGGCCAAGGCGGCAAATCCATTTCGGGTTCGGAAAAGCTGCGGAAGGAACCCTTCTCATCTTGCATGTGCTCAAGAGTTGTCTTTTCTTTCTGTTGGCTTGAAAGGGAATCTCTTCCATGTGCTCAAGAGTTGTCTTTTCTTTCTGTTGGCTTGAAAGGGAATCTCTTCCATGTGCTCAAGAGTTGTCTTTTCTTTCTGTTGGCTTGAAAGGGAATCTCTTCCATGTAAGAGTTGTCTTTTCTTGCTGTTGGCTTGAAAGGGAATCTCTTCCATGTGCTCAAGAGTTGTCTTTTCTTTCTGTTGGCTTGAAAGGGAATCTCTTCCATGTGCTCAAGAGTTGTCTTTTCTTTCTGTTGGCTTGAAAGGGAATCTCTTCCACGTGCTCAAGAGTTGTCTTTTCTTTCTGTTGGCTTGAAAGGGAATCTCTTCCATGTGCTCAAGAGTTGTCTTTTCTTTCTGTTGGCTTGAAAGGGAATCTCTTCCATGTGCTCAAGAGTTGTCTTTTCTTGCTGTTGGCTTGAATCGGAATCTCTTCCATGTGCTCAAGAGTTGTCTTTTCTTGCTGTTGGCTTGAAAGGGAATCTCTTCCATGTGCTCAAGAGTTGTCTTTTCTTGCTGTTGGCTTGAAAGGGAATCTCTTCCATGTGCTCAAGAGTTGTCTTTTCTTTCTGTTGGCTTGAAAGGGAATCTCTTCCATGTGCTCAAGAGTTGTCTTTTCTTTCTGTTGGCTTGAAAGGGAATCTCTTCCATGTGCTCAAGAGTTGTCTTTTCTTTCTGTTGGCTTGAAAGGGAATCTCTTCCATGTGCTCAAGAGTTGTCTTTTCTTTCTGTTGGCTTGAAAGGGAATCTTCATGTGCTCAAGAGTTGTCTTTTCTTTCTGCTCAAGAATCTTTCCATGTGCTCAAGAGTGTCTTTTCTTGCTGTTGGCTTGAATCGGAATCTCTTCCATGTGCTCAAGAGTTGTCTTTTCTTGCTGTTGGCTTGAAAGGGAATCTCTTCCATGTGCTCAAGAGTTGTCTTTTCTTGCTGTTGGCTTGAAAGGGAATCTCTTCCATGTGCTCAAGAGTTGTCTTTTCTTTCTGTTGGCTTGAAAGGGAATCTCTTCCATGTGCTCAAGATTTGTCTTTTCTTGCCGTTGGCTTGAAGGGAATCTCTTCCATGTGCTCAAGAGTTGTCTTTTCTTTCTGTTGGCTTGAAAGGGAATCTCTTCCATGTGCTCAAGAGTTGTCTTTTCTTTCTGTTGGCTTGAAAGGGAATCTCTTCCATGTGCTCAAGAGTTGTCTTTTCTTTCTCTTGGCTTTGTGTTGGGAATGTCTTGCACTGAGCTCTACCGCGTGCAGGCTCTAGCTCGGCTCTTCAACGAGAAGGTCTGGGACATTCAGGCGCGGTTCGTTCGGCGCAGCATGGCCCCTTGTTATCAGAAGCATAGTTGGAGCTATGCCAATCCAGGGCTGTGGCTGTGGTTCCAACTTCCGTGAGGCCAAAAGGACCCGCCCGCATCGCGTTTCGGCCATTCCCACAACCGCAAAGGGCTGTGGTTGAAATGGAACCCACGAATCTGTGATACAACAGAAAGGGCTTCCCAAAAACTAACCCCCCAGAAAAAGGGGGAGATTCCCTTGTATCACAGAGGTGGTTGGACAAACCCCGAGCGATCAACCACAACCCTGCGCCAAACTCCCAGATTCTGGGACGCAGCTAGCCACGAGAGACGCCAGGTGCCGGCAAAGTCGTCGAGCACCTTGAAGTGCTATGAGGAGGCCATGGAGGCGTCATTTGGATGTTTCGTGCGCGCGGCGGAGCAACAGATGGAAAACCGCCGCTCTGCAAGACAAGCTGGGGAGTGGGGGGGAAGATTTTGGATCTCCTTTCTTTGCAATTCTTTGCCTAGTTTGGAGATGAGGGAATGGTCACACTGACCGGCGGGCCACTCTCCCTCTCTGAAGGTGAATTGGACTTCGTTTGGCAGCTCCCAATGGTTGGCGATGAGCCGGATGCTCCAAGTAGCACTTGTTCTCTTGCTATGAGGTTTCCCAACGTCTCCCAAATGGGCCCAGTTGGGCAAATGCTCAAAGAGCGGTTGCCTTCCGCATGAGCCCAGGAATGAGGCCGACGCAACTCATCGGAAGGATCGCCACCTTGCTCTCCCTGAGCGGAGAGGCGGGCTTTTAGCAGCACGCAAGTTGGCCTTGCCTCGAAGTGACTCTCTTGGTGGAAAAGACACCCTGAAGGTCAAGAGACTTGTGTATTTGTTGCGGAACCTCAAAGCCGGGGTTGGGTTTGGGGTTGCCGATGAGGTAACTTTTGTTGGAAGGTCAAACTAAGATCAACAATACGATCATTTCGGGGGGCAAACAGAAACGACGCTGCGAAATCAGGCTAAGACTCAAGCCAAGGTTGGGTGGGTTTCCCTATTTTGTCTGGGGGGATGGGTGGCTTCTGCCCTCTCTGAGGGTGATGTGGAGCTTCTTCAGCGACTGCAGAAGTACATCGGAGTTGACACAGCGTGCCTCGAGCTGCAATGGGAATCCAAGCGGCAAATGTGGTTCTTTTTCTTTTCTTTAGGGGAACCCCAAAATGGGCGGTTTCGTTTTGGCGATCCCTTTGAAATGGGCCCCCCCCAAAAAAAGGGGTGCGTGCCTTTCGCCCCCAAAAAAAAGACGGGCCGCCCCCAAATGGATGGTTTCCCTTTGATTCCCTTTGAGCCAACCCAGGGTGTTTCTCAAAATAGGAATCAAGACCAACCAAAAGGGGGGCCAAAAGGGGGGCCGATGAGCCGTTTTGAGACCCCATGTGCAGGGGAACACCCCATTTGGCTTGATTTCCTAGGCCCTAGGCTTTGCAAAAACAAGCCTTTGGCTATTCAATTTTTGAAATCTTCCGGCAAAAAACATGACTGGACAGGTAGATGCCCACCAAAGGGTACAGAACCTCAAATTCGGGGATCCTAAATGTGACTGATTTGGGTTCAGTTGTTCTAGAAGCACCATCAAGAGCTAGGTAGATGAAGGCTAGAAAGAAACAGTGCCAAGCGATAGGTGCGGATGTGCGCCCTCTTGATTGTTCACATTAGTTGGGTTGGACCTTTTGAATACCAGTCTCTATAGGTTGAGCCCTTCTCTTTCGAGACTACCTTAGTGGCACCCCCCCCTCGAGTTCCTTTCTGGCCACCTTTCGCCTGCGAAGCGGGTCGGTCCAACGGTTGTCTTGGCGTCAGGAGCATCTTGGTGCCGCACCTGCGGGCATCAGCCCAGGCGAATCTGACACGACTCTGGCGGTGTTTGGAGGCGCGGGTGGACGGACTTGGCATCACTTTGGGGTTGTGTTGAAGCCAAAGGAGGCAAAGCCACCTAAAGCCGAGTTCTCTTCTTCTTTGTTCTTTCTCGGAGCCTTTTTGAGATTGTCTTCAAAGGAATCCAAAAAAATACCAAAAGGACACCATTTTGAGCCTGGGTCCTCTGTAAGCCATTCCCGTTTGCCGGCCATCTTCCTTTTGCCAGGCCTACTGGCGGAAGCCAAAGACAAACGCCGCGGGCTTGATCGAAGTGTCGAGCGAACCGTCGCCACTGTCGACCCATTATGGGTGGGGGGGATTTCCCTTTTTGGTGATTTGAAACATCACCTTTCAAGGTTGCCCTAAAGAAGGTTGGAGGGGTTGAGAACAGATAGATGTTGGCAGATGTCATGGCATGCGGTTGCTTGCCGTTTCTTTTTGCTTCCGTTTGCTTTGGGCAGCAGTTTCTTTCTTTTTCGGCAGAGCCTTTCCTGGCAGCGCCTTTTTTTTTCCCTCACTCCCAAGCGACTCTGGAGGCTGCCAAGCGCCGGCTGCCAAAAGCGAAGGCCCGTGCTGCGAGTGGGTGTGGTTCTCCTGTTCCGGAGGTGGCCAGTAGTTCTTTTTTGCTTTTTTCCAGTGGGAAACCAAGAACCCGCCTCTTGAAGCCAGCATTTGACCCATACTTTTTGGTTGAACAGGGGACCTCGTCTCTCTTGGAGGGGGTCCCCTGTATTGGTCCTCATCGCTGTTGCTGTATTCTGCACCCTTACCACTTTCGGTTAGGGATTGTATCTTGATGTGAGGTTGCTTTTGTTTGGAGGGTGTATAAGGGTTCCCTTTGTCATTATGTGTGTTTGGTTCACAAAGTGATAGTGACAACGACGTATGGCTATGAGCTTTAATGGGGGGCTCTCACCAAAAAGTGGTTGGTGGATACGAATCCCCACTATGATGTGCACGATAGAACCCATATATATATATATAGTTTTTCCCTTGGTTGTTTGCTCTGTATATACACACACACACACACCAGGGGGGCAGGTGGTTTGTTGCGGGGATTTCCTTTGTCTGTTCAGCCCTCGGTCTTCCTAGAGCAGACTGAAGTGAACATCATGCCATTCGGACACAAACAGTCGGGAACATAGTTATCATTGTTGATTGCCACAGAGGCACGGCGGGGACACCAATGGGGCGTGGCGTTTTTCGGTCGCACTTTTTGTAGTGATTATGGTGGTTTCAGAGGGACGCCAAAGAAACCGCCCATTTTGGGCTTCTCGTATGTGGAGACCCACATCGCTTTTTTATTACCCCACTCCCCCCAACACCCCTCACAACGGAGAGTGACCTTGCTCCATCGGAAGTCAACAATCAGTTGGGAATGTGTCAAAATTCAACCGCCAAGGGACCCCAGGTTTTGGCCCATGTTTCCATTTACCAGGGCAACCCATTTTTGGGACCTATTTTTGACCCATAGCCAGTCTGTAAATCTACAGGGACCTCTTGGCACTTCTGAGAGGATTGCCGCGAAGTGTTTTTATCCGGGGGTAATGAACGGGTTCTAGAAGGCTTGTGCCAAAGGAGAATCAGAACCCATCTTTCGGTTGTACCAAGGGCTTGTACCAAAGGACAATCATGCTAAAAGAAGGGCTTGTACCAAAGGTGTGTCGCATCACCCATCTTTTAGAACCCATGGGCACCCAACTTAGGGTGGCCAAAAGGCAAACCCAATCCCAGGAGCAGGGGCAAGCTGCTCGTGAATCGGCCGGGATTCCTGGATGGGCACATTTGGGCCGCCCTCAATCCAACGATGGAAGACCTTGGCTGGTTTGGCAAGACAGCCTCCCGGAAAGGCGTCTTGTCCTGAAATGACATTTACTGCTTCCAGGTAGTCTCATAGGAAACAGTTGCCAGCTTCACACACGCACACATCCTACAGTGCCTCCTGGAACGGACTCCAAGCACCCAACATGATGTCATGACCACCGTAGCCTTGTAAGAAAATCCTACGCCTTTTTTTGCCATGTCTTACGTTAGCTAGACTTTCTGCGGAGAATGGGGGGAACAAACTTTTTTTTTTCACGGTTTGTTCTGAGGCCCGGGCCACGGATTGGTTCATCAGATGTAGCGTAAACCCCTGGCTTGTTTGCGAAGTTTGCGAGGCGTCGCTCGTGTGTTTGGCTGAAGCTGACAAAGGTCGTGTGACTTGGTAGTGGGTAGTAGCAGAGAAAGGTTTTTGACAAGAGAAGTGGCGGCAGAATAAATTGGAGCGCGAAAATATATATAGAAGGTCAATTCCAAATGAGTTTGTGCGTGGGCTTAGATTAGAATTTGTATTTAGCGACCATCCGCACTAATTCGCGCTAGTATGCGCTAATTCGCTCTAATACGCGCTAATACGCGCTAATTCGCGCTAGTTCGCGCTAATTCGGCTAATTCGCGCTAATTCGCACCCATTTGCGTTAATTCACTGTAATTCGCCTTAAATCTACTTAGACGTCTAATTGCGCTAAATTCCGTTTTGGGGCATGTCACGTTGCAAGAAGTACATGCTAGAGCAAAGCAGCAAGTTTGCAACTCTAATCGCCAAATGCTGAGACACCTGCGGAGCGGGCGAAAACGACGAACATCCCAGATTTTCGGTGACCAGATCACCACCGTGAGAATTTGATTTCAACTGGCTTGTAAGTGCGTTTTTATTCGTCCCTGCTTATCACAATCACTTTTTGTTTGCTTCCTGCTTTTGCGTATCTGTCTTTTTGTTTGGCTGTGTCTGTTTATTTCTCTTTTGTTTATTGTGGCTTGCTCACATTTGGTTTGGCTGCCTGCCAGTTTGCCTGCCTGCCTGCCTGCCTGCCTGCCTGCCTGCCTGCCTGCCTGCCTGCCTGCCTGCCTGTCTGTCTGTCTGTCTGTCTGTCTGTCTGTCTCGCATCTGTCTGTCTGTCTATCTGTCCGTGCAGTCTGTTGGCCCTCTTTTTCTATTTTTGCCTATGTGTTTGTCTGTCTGTTGTTTTGCTGGTTTGCGCTCTTTTTTGTTTGTTATTTGTTTGTTTGTGTCTGTATTTTGCAAGTTTGTAGTTATCATATATTGAACAACATGGTTTCTTAAGCACATCTATATGCGCTGGATAAAAACTATGTCAGAGCTATACGCTAAATGACGCTAAATCGCTAAATTATGTTGCTTTGTCTGCCACGAAGCTCCCCACATAGTTTACCTCACATACGGCAGCAATACAGCTTCAACTCCGTCTTGCCGCCCTTGGTCCTGACGTGCTTTACTAGGTGCGAAGAAACTGGACAGGGACTCCCCTCTGAAAAGTTGTGCTTCGCGCGAAACCACCATGCAAGCACTTTTCTTTAGGGCTCCTCCTGCTATGACTGGAAACACCCTGCCCTTTGTCTCGCAGACTAAACTCCCAACATGTTCTTCGGTTTCCATTTGGTTTCCCTTCAAAACCAAGAAAACCAAATGTTCCCTCGTTGAAAAAAGCCACATATTGTGTCGTGCTCCATTTGGTTGCGCATGCCTCAGCTCTCGGAGGAAGGGTACTAGTAGCTGTCGGTAGTCTATATGGTCCGTATGGGTCTGTCTTTTTAAGGATGATCCCCAACACGGGTGGTTTCCTTTTGGTTTCCCTTTTACACAAGGTGCCTTTCAAGCCTCACAAAAAGACAGACCCTATATGCTGGAAGCAGACTTGGAAGGTTTCCCGCACCTGGGAAAACGGAGTCCAACTGTTGCCCACGCAGGGGTTTGTCTATATTTTGGTTAGGCCCATAGGCTTGGCTTTCCGCCCCCAGCGGCGCGGTAGACTTAATTTTACACGTGGCTCAACACGGAACGCACACCGTGGAACGCCTGGCCCAACTCCATGCGACCAGCTTTCGCCAGGTTTTGGTCTGGAGAAGCTGCTTGCAATGGTCGTTTGTGAGAAAACGATGGGTTTCTTCTCGGGGACTCCCAGTGAAGATGGGACTCCCACGTTGTTGCCAGGGTTGCCGTCGAGGCATGTTTTGGACCCTTACTTGGGGTTCCGCGGCACGTGGGATGCGGACCCGAGGTGAAGAACACCTTCATCCACTACGGGGAAAACCTCCAGGCGGATGTGCGCCGTCTTGTTTTTGCTGCGTTTGTACAGGAAGTGTTCTCCAGTTCGCTTTTGGAGCCCTCCTTTCAGCGCACCACGGTCAAATTGATCAACAGGGGAAATCCAGTGACCCCTTGCCCTAGCCATGTATGTGGAATCCAAGCTGTGGAATCCCCAACCCCGAAGGCTCCAGGCTACATTGGCAATGTCTGTCTCACGCGTTTATGGCTGCGATAGAGCTGTGAACAACATATATATCTCGGCTTGAATCACCTGCCAGCTCCTGCGTCTTCACACAAGTCATGATGTCTTTCTGAGAAAGAAACTGTAAGCAGGAGCCTCGGGCTTCAGTTGCCTGCAAATTTCTCTCCGGTGCTTTGGGGTGGCCGAGGCGAGGTTC